AAAAAAGGAAAATACAGTCTAATTCAAATCTTCCACCTTTTAAAGTAATTTAAAAATGATAATTATTTTTCATAATGGAGGAATTAAGGAAACGGTTCATACCCAGCTAGGTAGAACATTGACCTCTACAGAGCAAGAGGTGCGGGTTCAAACCCCGCTTTATCAAATTGAATTTGTGTTACCTCGCTCACCATCCGCCATTTTTGTGGCATGAACCTTTTTTAATAGCAATAGGTAGGTATTCCACAACTCAACAACTCCACTCTTTTTACTTTCAAGTTTCCCGCAGCGTGGAACGCGATCGTGATTTGAATTTAATTCAGAATATTAAATCCGTCATATTCTACGGTTCCGTAACTTAAAAAAAATAAAGTATATTTTATGCTTTGTGCATTGGATAGTTAAGGAATTTTAAAAGAAAATTAAGTAGCAACATATGTCATTAGTATATAATAGTTGTTTAATGCATTATTCAAATATCATATCAGAATTTTACTGTCCACTGCTGGACATAAGCCTCTTGGTGGGTGATATACCTGTCATCATCATCATCATATCAGCTCTTAACCGTCAACTGCTGAACATAAGTCTCCCTCTTGGGGAGTTTTGCCAGTAGTTGCTATACTTGGCAGTCGGATTAGCAACCGCAGTTAGGCTTTAGAGATGTTTTAAGAGGGACGCTGCTGCCCATCCCTCGTTGCCCTTAGTCGCTTTTTACGACTCCTACGGGAAAGGAAAGGGTGGCCTATTTTATGCCAGTACCACACAGCCATATACCAATAGGTGTCTATTTTTATCAGTGAAAGTGTGAAAAGATATTGTTTACCTAATCATGTTTAAATGGGTATGATTTTTAAATTTTAGTACATATATTTTTTTTATACAACTTAAAATGGCAAACAAGCTGATGACCCACCTGATGAAAAGTGGTAACCGTCACTTATAGACATGAGCAATATCATGGACATTACAAAGTATACTGTTTCGCCCATGTGTTGCCATTCCTGAGGACTCAGGTGTTATTCCTCTGTACCCTGTAAATTCACGACATATCCCACCCTTCAAACCGAAACACAGCTATGCAAACACAATAGATGTGTCAAAGTTTTTATTTTGATTCACACATGCAAAATTGAGGGTTACTTAATATATTTTTTAATATTATTAACCTTTCAAAACGGGATACCATAAGACCAAGTTTGATATATAACGAGAATAAATGGGACATAGGTAAATATGTACCTGTAGCTTAGAGCAGAATGGATTTCGTAATTTGCTAGCTATATCCCGCAGCTATACCCTAGTAAATCAATAAGTACATAAAATATTAAAAGTGCTAAGTTACGGTATAACCTACAAATGTACAAAATTTCTTTCAAAATTCGTTCAGAAGTTCTTGCATGAAAGAGAAACAAACATCCATCTATCCTTACAGACTTTTGGATTTAGAATATTATTAGGATAATTCCTAATGGATTATTAAGATAAGCAGTTTTAGAAATAGAGAAGCTATGTATTATAACAATTACTGTATTACCGTGCGTTTTTCAAGGCACTTTCTTCCACGCACAACCACGCTTTGGAATCAACTTTCAGCAGCAGTATTTCCGAACCGATACGACATCGTAACCTTCAAGAAAATTTTTAAAAGGTATTCCTTTTTTAAAAGGTTGGCAGCATACCTGTAATGCCTCTGGTGTTGCCGGTGCATATAGGCGGCGGTAGTCACTTTCCATCGGGTGAGCCGCATGCTCGTTTTCCCACTATAGCATACGTGTAATATTTAAATCATAAGAAAAAATAATATTACGCCAAAGTTAAAATTTGTTTTCACAAACAATTTCTACAGTTCTGCATGTCATTGCGACGCCTACCGTGACGCCGGCAAAGATTACTACGCGACGCGTACCTAACACGTTTAGAAACTTTTTTATTATTTCGGGACCAATTTTTTTTCAGTGAAAGACTATGAATCAATTTTGACTCAAGTTTTTTATCTACATTCAGTGAAAGACTGTGAGACAAGTACATTCCCTGTTGTGAATGAAATTCTATTATTTGTAGTAAGGAGACATTTATTTATCTGCACAGCAGCGTACGATTTTGAACTTTGTTTTTCTCGGCATTATATTTAGTCTGACTCTTGAGTTTTTCTTTGTTTGCAAGAAGGGAGCTGGTAAATATTGTTCAATCAACTAGCAAGTAGTACACGTAGATAATATAAATCAAGAGGGAGGGATTGTTACTAATGGGGAGATTAATTACTTATTGATAGCAATTTACTCTATTGGGTCGACCTTGTTTTTTACAACACAGAGGGCAAACGAGCATTCGGCTTACTTGATGGTAAGTGACTACCGTCGCCGATGAGCACTCGAAACATCAGAAGCATTGTAGATGTACTTCCGGTCTTTCAAAAAGGAGTATGGTATTTTCTTGAAGGTTATGATGTCGTATCGGTTCGGAAATACTGCTGCTGAAAGTTGATTCTAAAGCTTGGTTGTGCGTGGAAGAATGTGCTTTGAAAGACGCATGATAGACGACCGCCACTCATCCAGATGGTGGGAATGGAACTTTAGTTAGACATATACGCGGTCTATCTGAAAACCATTATAGTTATATTCTTAATGAATTCCTCAATAACCTGACTTCATCCTAATCGCTTCATCCTCTACTGATGCCACGTCATTGTACATTGTTATTAATATAGGCGAGTGCACCACTCCATCTTCATCCACAAAAGAAAAAAAATATAAATTAAGCGAAGGTAAAGGGATTGTTAGTAACGGGGTATAATAGCCCTATTGCTCACAATATCATCAATAGATACATACAATCAAGTGGACCTACACGTGGTTTCCTCTGAAAACCATTATGGTTAATTCTAGTCGAATTCGTAATGATGAGCGAAGTGATCTGCATTCATCTTCACTTATCATCTTTCATTGTTGTCCCACTAGTCTATACTGATATCATAGACAAGTTCCTATTTCATTTTCACCTAAAAAAAAATTAAAATGAGCTTAACCATTGTCTGTAGACATGAATATTCGTTTATGATATGGCAGTGCATGAAGAACTACATCTGAAGATGTGTTTGTTATGTCATAGATGTACTGTTTACACTTTAAAACTGACATACACGCCACTATTCATGGGAGAAATAGACGGTTGTTTCCAAAGCGCAGTTTCTAAAATCACAGTTCACTTGTAAATTTATATATTATTGTAAAATTATATATTATACTATTTTAATATGTTTAAATAAATTCCTGATAGCACTAATTAAAATTAATCAATATTTAAAAGGCGATAAAATTTTACCAATTTCAACAGGGGTTGTTAAGTTTAATTTAATTATAGCAGAAATACGCCTGAGACAACTTTTAAATTTCAAGCTAAGACAACTTCCCGGTACAATCAATTTACATTACGTTTATATAAACTTTGGAAATCAATAACGTGAGATAACAAACTTTCTCTCCGTGTTTCAAGGAAAAATCATTCTTGTTTCGTAGACATATTCAATGTTGACGATTTCTCAAGAATTTCCATTTTGGTAACAACTAGATACGAGTACGTACACGGCTACAACAAAGATAAGGTTTTATACCAACACAATATAAAAATATTATATATTTTTTTTATATTTAAAAACAATACAATATTTTTATATTGTAGTGGTATGTTACGACATTAAAGTGGTAGGTTGTATTATATAAAATTTGATAAAACATAACATTTTTGTAGCTATATAAAACCATATCTGTATTATTAAAAAAAAACTTTACAATATTAAGGTAAGTAAGTTCGATAGTAGTGACAGTATTTATTTACTTACTTCAGTATTATTTTAGACTAGTTGTATCTCGCGGTTTTGGTCTGGTGAATTAGTACATAAAATATTCTAAGTTAGAATATAACCTACGAAATTTCATTCAATTTCATTCAGTACTTTTTGCGAAATTTTATCCTTGGAAAGTTTCGCATTTATAATATTAATAAAAATTTATAGGACATGAATAAGTTTTCTATCAAATTAAAAACATAAAAGTACTAGAATGATGTGATCCCAGAACTATTTACAAAATTGAGTTAAAAAAGAATTTAGATAAATTTTTCTCAATAATCTAAATCGAAAATTGAATCAGAAAAAAACAGCAATGGGTGTTGGAGACTGAGTTACAAAATTTAGATAAGCGAGGAGCGTGCATATAAAATTATAGCATTTTTTTTTTCCGTATAGATCCTATTGACACAATTCCACATGCATAATAGAGTAATGATTAAAATAAAATCACAGCTTTCAGATGATTCATTAACCACTTTTCGTTAATTCTTTTCGGCAGAAATTCATCAATCACAAACTTAATCCTGACAGATTTGCACTCGATGCGGTTCCTCACCTGGGACCTCAGAGCTGATTATTTTTATTCAATATTATTATCTTGAATTTATAAATATAGCAACAAATGAAACAATGTAATATAATTTACATTCGTAATAAGCAGTAATAATATAATTATAGTAAATTATGTATCTATTACATAAAAATTTAAATTTTTAATCTGTCTTAAAAAATTTAAACACAAGTTTTAATTATTTATAGATCTCAATTGGCAAGAAAAAAAAATTGAATAACAGAAATATACGTTTTTATAAGCCATTTATATTATTTTAGTTTATAAATCCTTTATAATTATGATATTATTTTGATAACTGGGTTTGAAACCTTTCTTGTAGTTAAGACCATCATTGTTTCATCGAAACAACTGATTAGTATTTTGCAAGTGTCCAAAACTCGAAATAATATAATTATCAATATTATATTCAGCGTCATTATCAACATTCAATGTTCAATTTTCCAGCATTCACGTTTCGATGATCACATATACTTTGACATGGCGTTGCAATAATTGAAGCTTTAAAACACAGGTATATGCTAAAGGCGCGAGTGGGCGCGGGTGCCTCCAGTCCAGTGAGCTACGCGATACATCACGGCTTGGACGCTCCATAGATAGGTTTGATTGTCAGACCGCGAAATTTAAAAAGAAGTGATTCTGGCTGGTTGTGATTATTATTTTAGGAATGTATATATATTTTAGAACATAGGAATGAGAGTCACTTAAATAAATATGTTTAAATCGTGAAGTGTATCTGGTTGTGAAAAGTTTTTTTATCAGATTATTATTTGGATTTTGAATAAAATTTTGGTAAGTTTATTTTACAAATTTTAGTGAACGATGGAAATATTTTTTTTAATAAAACAAAGTATTGGAGATAATTGTGTATGTTTCTTTGCCAAATTAAAAAAAAAATCGGTGTCTTTGCTAGAGATTTTCAGAAGACTTATCAGTGTTAAAAATTTCCAATATAAAAAGTTCTGTGTTATTTGACACGGGACTTTTTATACTGGATTTTTTTTGGAAAAAGTATGATTGATAAATAAAACACCTATTTTACTACAAAGAGTTTCGAAACTGACTGAAAGATCCTGAGACTACGATGATAACGTTTCTTTGTGTTTTCATTTCAAAATCTTGGTAATAGTTATTGGAGTAGGTATTAGTTTACGAGAGGGACCTCAAAAAGTTGAACAGTAAATGGTCGTTTATAATTCTAACTTCGCTTAAGTATTTTTTTGGTTTTCATGTTTTGATCATATCTATGATTAAGTCTGAGGGCTGACCTCATCAACATGGCCACATAGCATTTTATTGTAGAATCCTCTCGATTAGCCATGAGCAGAAATAGATGGAGATACATTGCAAGGATAAGGTCCTTGCAATGTATTTGCAAAGAAGAGTTTCATCGATAATCCACTAGAATCATAAAAACCACGACCACTCTGTTAAGACTGTATGAGTGAAGAGAGAGAGATGATTAAGTCGTGTGGATCGCTTGAAATAATCAGTAAGTTTAAACAATTGCCTTAAATAATATTTAATAGAGTTTAAGCAGAAATAGATATTTTATTAATTTTATTACTCACTTTTAAAATGTCAAATTTTAATTTAAGTACTTATGTGAATTACAACGACGCAATATCAGTTTTTTAGACCTTCTCAATTTAGCTTTGGTTCATTATCTGTTTTTATATTAATTATTATTTATTTATTATTTAACTTCAAATTATGTAAATGTATGGTTCGCCGTGTGGTCCCAGCATAGAATGGGCTATCCCTTCTTTTCCCATGGGTGTTGTAAAAGGCGACTAAGGAAACCTAATGGCCGAGAGATGGGTAGCAGCGTCCTTCTTAGAACATCTTTGAAAGTCTAATTACAGTTGCCAACCCGCCTGTCAAGCGAGGTAACTACTAGAAAAACCTCTCTTATGGGAGAGGCCTATGTTATGCAATGGACAGTTAACGGCAGATGGGATTTGCAATTCTTTAGTTTAAACGTTTCTGTATTACAGCGAACTTTCTGATTCTAATATAATATTCACTTTTCATGGCACATAATAATGCTATTCACAAGCAAATTTTTACTTGAGTTTTCAGATAAATGTTTTCAGTAAATTCATATGTTATTTAAATTCCATGTTTTATCCTTTTAATTGGACGCAAAATTATTTTGTCACTCTATTTAATATCCTAGTCTTTAATTAATCTGATTTCACAATAGTTTTCAGTTCGTTATTATCTACCTTAATCTCTGAATCATCTATGAAGCTCGTTGTTAACAAAAAAAAAAATATAAATTATACCTACATTTATTTCCATTAATTAAATGTTTTAAAATGAATTTTTATTTTTCATATACACAAATATAACGACATCAAAGACAAAATAAACAGCGGCAAATAAATTACCTGAGTAGATATTAACTTTGGTACTGTGGCGGTTACCACAATATAAGAAAGATTTTTTTAAAGCAGTGCAACCAAATGTAAATTTATTATATTTCTTATTTGAGTTTACAATTCTAAATGGCAAATATATATCTGGTACTAAACTTCAAACTAATCTGTAATATTGGAATATATTGAAATATAACAATTTCGTAGGTTTCCAATATTACATTCACGTTTAATAAATAACAAAGTGTATTGGAAAAGTTATTGTGTACAATAATTATTTACTTCTACCAATTCATTTCGTCATTTGGAGCTACGAGGATAAAAGCACATATGCGACCTGAAATTTCGTATAGGCGTACCTAGTATTTATGAAAAAGTTGCGTAAAGCCTCAGAAATTGCAAAAAAAAAAAAAATACTCTTATTCTTCACAATTCTAAATACTTCGTATATCACAATCATTGATTGCTCCTGCTTTGTATCCCTAGATTTGGTCGTTTGGTTTCTTATAATTAATATAAATGGACAAAAGTTTCAAATAAAAGGATTAGACTAGGCAATTGATGTAATTATGTGGTATTTAATATTATTATTTTTCCTATTTCTGGGTATTCAAGTTCAAGATATCCTGTGTGACGGATAAATAGACAATGATAAATAGACAATATCTGGGTCATTATGTAGACATGTAGAAATATTTAATACTATTGCTTTTACTCGCGACTTTGTCCGCGTGATCGGGGTATTTACTGACCGTGATAAAAAGTAACCTATATGTTTTCCAAATCCAATATATTACGTGTATATCAGATGGGTTAAGTCGCAATAAAGTAAAAAACAAACAACCTCATTTTCATATTTATAATATGTATTAGTAAGAATTATAGTGAATCTATGTATCTACTCGTAAGTACCGCCCATATTTGTGTGTTTTTTTAACAGAGATACTGATTTATCTTCGGTTACTTAAGATATGGGGCCAGAGATATGCTGAAGAAGCTTAGTGTAGGTAGACTTAACAGTTAGTATAGAATTAGGTTCTTTTGCTAGTACGAATTAGAACAAAAATAGAGATTCTATATATTAACACATATATGTAATACCAGAAGAAAACTTTGTATAAAAGTCGTTTGCTAGGATACCTCTGTCCCATTCGTGTTTCAACCGTGAAGCATCCGTGTTTCAACCGTGTTTGCATGACTGTGTTTCGATTTGAAGGGTGGGATATGGCAGTGAATTTACAGGGTACAGAGGCATAACACCTTAGTCCTCAGGAATGGCAACGCATGGGTGGTATCATGGACGAAACAGTATATTATGTTATGCCCATGGTATTATTGGTCATGTCTATAGGCGATAGTTACCACTTTTTATCACTTTGCCATTCTAAGTTGCATAAAAAAGAAACTGTATATAATACCTACCATGTATGCCAGGATGTCTGTAAGAGATTGTTTTTAGCGATAAGACCTCTTATTGTATATGCACATTCTGTACAAACATTCCCATTTTATATCTTTTTTGTGCGCAATAAAGAGTTTATTAGAATTATTATTAATTTAAAATATAGTCAAATTTATTTAACCATATAAACGTTTCTAACATAAATCTCTGTCACTCAAACTTTTACAATTATAGTATTAGTTAGTATTACCACTATACATAGAAGGTATGAAATTGTTTCATTACAAAAACTTTTAAATAAAGTGTAACGTTACGGAGGGCCCGACGGACCGACATACCTTACCATAATCCGTGCCACTAAAGGTGGTCAGGAATGTTTTGGTCACCTATACAGCAATGTCACAATATTCTGGACTTAACCGTAGCCTAGGGCCCTAATTTACTAAATGTCAAAGTTATTTTTATGGGAACACTTGAGCAATGTTGAATGAGCTAATTTCGTGCAGCCGTTTAAACATCTTTTTTTAGCCTAGTGTCGAAAAAATAGGACCTTCATATGCCCTTATTGCGTTAAAAATGACAGTATCACCCTAAATAATGTTTACCTAATAAAATTATGAGTCGATTCTTCAAACATAATTCAGTTAGTTCGTCTATGACTTTAAATAGATGTCATTCTTAAATTTTTTATGACCATAATTCTAAACTGACAAGTTTATTTACAAATGCTTTCAAAGCTTGCAATTAAAGAATTACTTTTTAGAGTTACAGACGTCTCGTACTATCTGGGAATAATTGTTTGTATTTCATATAAAATATGTATTTTGAATACGCGCGGAGCGTGCTAGATAGTAATTTATTCTTCTTGTTCAGGTATCAGGTAAAGGACATTAGATGCAAGAGCTGAAGAGAAAAGAGAATTACAGAGCTAACAAAAACTTAAAGAAACTGACACCACCTTATTTATTAAAATTAGTCACATATTTTAAGCTGTAGATCTCCTAAAGATCTGTAAAGATTCATACCAATAATTGAAAAACATTATTCTCCTTTTTAGCAGTTGGGAAAAAACCGTTAACAATGTTATTAAGTCGCGAGTATTAGTACTAACTGATCTGACTTTATCCTCGCTTATTATCTTTCATCGGTACCCTGCTAGCGTATTACATATCGGTGTACGCTGAGCAATGCCATTGAGATTTTATGGATAATATATCATCAAACATCCAAAAAGTCTGAAGACATTTCACAGCTGGGATTCATGTTATTTAACGATTTATCCTTTAACTGAGATTTCCGTAAGAATGCACCAGCAGCCTCAAAGGCTTATTTTAAATTATATTTTAAACCGAAAATAATGAGATTAACTTACGTTCTACAGATTCTGAGAAATTCATAATTTCCTCTTAAGTACTTCGTTAATGTACTTAATATTGGGGCTCATTTTATTCATTCTTTATTCAATTTGGAAGGAAATTTTATAATTATAAGCCATAATAATAATTAACACAATAAATCATTTATTGGAAAAATTGTTCAGATTCATGAAATGATTATTGGGTTTTGTGATCTTTTTCCGACTAACACAGTATAGGGGCAAATTGTAAAAATTAGCATACTATTGAAGCAATGTTCTATTAAGAAAGTGAACATTTTTCATGAAATAAATTGAGTTATAAACGAGTACCTTTAAGAGTACGAGTAGCTTTATAGCTAGACTCACCGTGCTGATCTGGGAGTTTAAAAATTGTTATATTTTTCGACATTTTTTTAGTCATACTCTATGACCAAAAATATTCAGTTTCAATGATAAAATGACAATAATTTTATTTTATTAATATAGTATTTATTATAAAGTAACGATTCGCCTTATGGTTCTGTCATAGAATGGACCCCCTTCCTTTCCTGTGGGTGTCGCAAGAGACAACTAAGGGAACTTAGTAGTCGAAGGATGGGCATCAGCGTCTCTCTTAAAACATCACCAAAGTTATTAACTTTAGCTTTTTTAT